AACGGCATATCTTAAATTATCTAGTGATCACTGAGTGCAGCTAAGCCTAGGGACAAACGAAATGTGCTCACCCCCAAGCCTAGCATTTTATCAGTAAGATTTACTAGATAAGGCCTTTGGACAAAGGGAGTGTGACAAACTAATCTCTCTCTTTGGGAATTGCCTCTGAGGTAGAACAACTGACTGCAGAAAAGTAATCCCTATCCAACCTAGATTGTTTTTGTTTCCCCCAAAATGTTTCATGGATTTATCACTGAACCAAGCCACTAGTGCAGATCAAAGAACAGAAGGAACAGTCCGAAATAAATATGTCCATCTCCAGGGAGTGCTGGCATGCGGCTTGATATAACTGTGATCTGGACTTAGCAGAGATATATTGTTATCTCACATACAATTCCTGAGAGACCCAGCTAGGTTCTCCTCCAGAGTCTCCTCTCGGAGATATGTCTAATCTTAACACTAATCTCACCCAAACCCTTCAGGGAAAGGTGTAATTGACTTTGTCAATCATGAGGAAATGTCACGAGGTACTGGGTCGATCACATGCACATGACAGCAGAGAAAACATAGCTGTTTTTTTTTTGTTTGTTTGTTCATTTGTTTGTTTTGTCTGAGTATGCTGGTAAACTGGAACCCTTGTCCTTAGATGAGGAAATGGCGCTCACAGAAGCCACTAGGAGTAATATTTCAAAGCAGATTCCTACATGACTCACTTCTGTGTCTTTCGTTCCCGACACGGGTGTGGTGTCAATGTCCTCGGTGCACAGGGGCAATGAATGCATGCAGTCATACCTTGCTGTTTCCCGGGACAGAGGCTCGAAGAAAGGAGACTCCTGTATCTTTGGGGAAGAAATCACCCTCCTGGATAAGATAATGCTTTCCTAGAGAATCAGCTGTTTTGCTTGACTTTTTCACCTGATTGTTCATTAACACATTCAAAGTCTTAAATAACATCAGTACAACGTGGTGAGCAGTATTCCCCACTGCCCCAGGGTTTAACCAAAAAAAAAAAAAAAAAAAAAACAAGAGAGGTATCTGTGTTGTTGAGGTTGTGGGACTCATGAACTCACGTGACTCTACTCTCCCAGTCTATCAGGAGCCACGACTACAGGAGTGGGTAAATCACCACACCACCCATTTCCCAATTCTCCTAATAATATTCAAGTCCACAGAGGAAGAAGACTCCCACCCACCTCTGTCCCACCTCTGTAGAATGGGCTTGTTTTTCCCGTCTAGTGCAATCAGAACTTAGTAGATGGTAAAATCTACGGGTTATGACCAGTTTTTGAAAAACAAAGAAACAATATTCAAAATGCCTTGAAGAAGGAAATAGTTCAGGAACCTTCTATATTTGGATTGTGATAATAAATCCTTTTCCCTGGGTCGTAGTTTAAAAAACAAACTCAAAAACATGGAGCTGACATATTTATTGTCTCATCCTGTTTTAGAATGCATTTTTTTTCTTTAAATGGAATACTCTACCATTGAGTCAAGCAGTCTCAGAGATGTCCTAGCTTTCTTCATTAGATAGCTGTGAAGATCAATTTAGCTGTTCAGAAAATGGTTGGAATAATTATAAACCTGGAAGTTACTTTTGTACTAAGAAGTCTTTGATTCTACTGAATTTCTTCAGCAGCCAATGAACCCTGGATTCATACAGAAATATATTTAGCTTCCACCTGCAAAAGGTGACCATTTGACCATTGTCTCACTAGACTTCCACCTGTCTCCGTCCTTACAGTGTGGGAACAGCTGAATAAATTAAAGGAAGCTTTAATTCATGATTAAAGAAGACATTATGAACTATTCAAATGGGATTACAGGAGCAAGGAACTATTTTAACAAAACAGTCACAATTTTTATAACAGTTTTTACAGACCCTGACTTATCTTCCATGAAGCCATTTGAACATGGAGTAGTGGATCTAGACAAGAGTGTCACTAACTAATTAAAACTTTTTAACGGGACCAAAGGAGTCAGCACTGCAGGGTGCTAGGTAGAAGGCCAATGAACCCTGAACCCTAAGGATCTGAGTGTTTGCTGGGTCTGCGAACTATTGGTATGTGATTTGGGGACAAATCATGCAAAAATCTCTAAACCTACTGTTTGTTTTATGAAGACAAGGTCTCAAATATCTCAGGCTGTTGACTTGACCTTCTGATCCTCCTGCTGCCAATCCCAAGTGCTAGAATTACAGGCATAAACTTCCACTCGTGGCCTCAGCATTCACCTTATTTTTAACATTTTTATTCCTATTAGCATGTGTGTGAGAGATGTATGTGATGTGAACACTCATGAGCCACAGTGTGTGAGGAAATCAGAGGACAGCATTCAGAACTCTGTCCTCTCTTCCCACTGCGGGTGAAGTCCTCAAGCTTGCATGATGAGCACACACCCGTCCTTGGAGACCTCCAGTGTACCACTCCTATGGTTCGAGGCAGCATGCCTCCGGGATCAGGTCCAGCAGGAATCTAGTGTATCAGTTGAGGGCCCCATGGCATGGCCATGCCCTGGCTTGCTGACGTTCTTTGTGCTACCCCCATAGCCATGGGGTAGCACAGGGCCATGGATGCTATTCTCTAATGGTGGCCAGGACAGGAAGCTTGACTTCTTATTAGGTCAATCTAGACCATTCAACTTAGTTTTCATAGAAGCAAATACTCACTCATGCATTTCATGAACTCACACAATACATAACCAACGTATCGTATCTAATTATAGTAACAAGTAAACCCATGTTACACAATCCACTGTAGGAACCAAAGCAAGATGGGCAGGAGTCAGGCAGAGTCAGATACATGGAGGCTGTAAAGAGCTTTCACAAGGTTATTAACCCTTTTCCAGATCAGAAAACTGAGGTTTAGAAAGGCCTGTTAATTGTTTAACAAGTGGCTTTCACAAGAAGTTTTGACAGAAATATAGGGGGGAAGCCTAACCCAACCATATCCAAGTCAGAGAAACCTTGCACAAGGTGGTGGCTTGCAGAGTGGCAAGAGAGAATCAGATATAAGAACATAACAGATGCAGAAGCCAGCAAAGCCCCAAACCAACAACAAAAATCCCACAAGAAAAAGAGAGGATTTATTCAGGCTGCCTGCAAAACTGAAGCCTACGATTCAGGAAGTAGGTGTGGGAGAGAGAACTGAGGTCTAGCTTGGGGTGATGGTGTGTGCTCAACAGCTTCACGTGACTTAAAGGTGACGAGAAGCCATAGGGTGACTGTTCTCAAAAGTAAATCAATCAGATGTAGATCACACAAAAGTCACTGCCAAAGCAGAATGAAGAATGGGACACCAGGTTGAGACCAGAGTACCTGGATGCTGGGGAATAAAGGGACAGTGATGAGGACCCAAGTGAGCACGTGTTGGGGATGTCCCTTCCTAGTGACTTCTTTATCCAATCTACTGGCCATCAAATACTGGAAAAGAATAAGGTAACAGTATCTCCTGAGACACACAGAGCTTCCGGGACTGACCTGAATGGTCAATGACAGACATACTTAGAGAAAGTCTGGGATGGATAAGATGGTCTATGTGCTCTGATGGAGACACATCAGCAGCCCAGAAAATCAGCATTTATTCTTTAACAGGCAGGTAAGCTAGTCTCTAGCTAGTCTGGGTAGGGCACCTCCATAGGGGTATAGCCTCAGGCTACAGTCATCAGGGAAAGCTGTGTTTGATTACTTTTGAATACAGCCAGTTTCCATACTCATCCAGGGGAAGGAATTGCTTCAGATAACCTTCTGCACCTACCCATCTTTCTGACATGAAGATTCTTATGAACAGTTACTCTCAGTAAACAAGCATAATAACCACCTCCATCTATTTAGATTTTTGCTGGTAGTCTAGAAACCCATTAAAACGCTGTACGGTCTAACATGAAATGACAATGCAATCTCTGGCGCTCCGGATGGAACTCAGTGATGCAGTGCTTATCTGCAATGAACACGGTCCCAGGTGGGATTCCCACAACTACCGAGTCACTTAAAAAGCAGTTTCTGAAAATTAAAATAAAATCAGAGACATGTTACTTGAAATCTCAGTAATTCAACTGTGAGTCCCCAGTGGGATGCACCTCAAACAATCTTCACTGTTCCCTATCAAAATCAATACATTCCAGAAGCTTCAGTTGCATTGCTGGCCAATCCTTGCATTACTGTTGGGACTGTTGGGTGTGTCTGTGAGAGTGTGCCAGTGGGTAATTGTGTGGTACTCCACATCCATAGCTCCTTCACTAAAACCTGAAATTCTAAATAAGCCTTTGATAAAGGGGATGCAAGCCAGAGCAGGAAAGATTGTGCACTTGGATAGTTTGAGCTCACAATGGATCTTCCTTTAAAACAACAGCAAATGTTATGTTCACAGAGAGGTCTAGAAACGGTAGAGCAGTCTCCAGGAGCATCCCAGTGCTGAGATGGAAGTCCGAGTTGCTACTCTCTAGTACAGAGGAGGCAGTCCTTCCTCTTCCTAAGCTGCTGCTTCAGGTCCAGCCGGAGTCCATGAAATGAGCACGAGTTACGCTCACTGCTCTGCCCCTTTCCTTTCTACGCTTACTACTTCTACTGTTTTTATTGTCACCTAGAGTCACCTGGCAAGAGAGAACGTCAACTAAGAAATTCCCCAGGTCAGACTGGCCTGGTACCATGTCTGGGAGAGCCTGTCTGGAACAACGACTGATAGAGGAGGACCCAGTCCAACCCTGCACAGTTACAGTAGGTGATCTTTTCTAGGTGGGTGGACCTGGCTGCTAAGAGAAATCTAACTGAGAACAAGCCAGAGTGAGCTGGTAGCCATCCTCCATGGCTTCTGCCTTGGTTCTTGTTTGAATTCTAACCTTTGTCCCCCTATAATGAACTATAACCTGGAAGCATGAGCTGAAAAACCCCTTTCTTACCATAAGCTGCTTCTGGTCACAGAGTTTGACAAAACACCAGAAAGCAAACTACAGCACTTTCAAAGTGTATACTAGGACAATCCTATATTTTCAACATGAGACAAGGCTGGTAAAAGAACATGACAAAACTTTATTTTAGCTTTTTTTGGGCCAATGTTTATCCTTATGTTCAGATTACAGAAAATATTCTTTTTAATATGCAAAAAAATCAAACATCTCTAAATGAAACATCTAAAAATTTGGCTCATTGTCAAACACAAAGTGACATATTTGGCTTTTTAAAAAACACAAGAAATAATTCCAGTGAAGTTGTTACATACACTGTTTTCTCCTAGGTGCCTCATGTTCATGGACAGTCTGCGTCTGTATACATGGCACATACACTAAAATACTTAAGTGAGAGAAGAAAGATGATGTGTGTGGTTACATAAATCACCCACACGTAACCAGTGAATGCGCTTACTAAAGAAGCCATCCGTGACCAGAAGCACTATCCCATTAGGTCATTTGATCATATCCATAGCTGAGAAATAACACAAACCTAGAATGTGGCCAGGTGCCTTGTAAGTCTGATGTGAATGTCTAAAAAGTATGATAGGAAATTCAGAATTCTGTTTTTCTTCAAGAAAACTTCCCAGAAGGAGGTGGGGGGCCAAGAAATCCACCAGCCTGCTTGGTGGCAGCTCGTGAGGGGGCAAGGCCAAGAATCTTCTGGATGTTCTGTAAAGAAAGCATAGTAAGAACTGATTTTTACAAAATCATTTTACATCTATTTCAGCAAAGAGAATGCATATAAACTAAAAGTATGGCTACCTGCAATAGGCCGACAGTGTCATTTGTTAATATAACGACAATGACAACAATAAGACCTGTATAGACTTGACAGGACCTGGGTCTGCTAATCTAAAGAAGCCAACTTTGTAGAGTGAGGGGAGGGAGGGAGAGGGGGAGAGAGAGAAAGAGAGAGAGAGAAAGAGAGAGAGAGAGAGAGAGAGAGAGAGAGAGAGAGAGAGAGAGAGAGATTCTTATTCAAGTGCCAAGAATATGGACCTTGTTCACAGCAGGCAATCACTCTACCACTGAGCTGTACTCCAAGCCTCCAGGTAATCTATCTTTCTTCCTTTCTTCCTTTCTTTCTTCTTTCCTTCCTTCCTTTCTCCAACCCCCTTGGCTTTTTAAGACAGGTTTCTCTGTGTAGCCATGGCTGTTCGGGAATTCACTCTGTAGACAAGGCTGCCACAGAGATCCTCCTGCCTGTCTTCCGAGTGCTGGGATTAAAGGTGTGTGCCTCCCCCAACCCCCATCCCACTATAATCTTTTCTTTTTAACCCAAAGCCTGTAGAATACAACGGCTTTCCCTTGAGTATAGCATGGCTGACTTTAGTCTTTACTGCAAATAGTGACAGAAGGGCTGGGACATAGCTCAGAGGAAGTACATTTGCCTAATTTGGAGGCCCCAAATCTCTAGGTTTTAAACTTTGCATCTTTTCTTTATCTTAATTTCATCTAACAGAGCAATATAAGTGTACTCATGTTTTTTACATACTGATGCAGTTTCCATAAAAAACAATTATTTTTATGTTCTGATTTCTTTGACTAATATAATATTTCATTTAATTACATAACTACAATAACAACTAAAACCAGTATAAACAGGTTTTGGAAAACAATCGACTTTTAGAGCAGACAGGCGTGGGTGTGCTAAAGAGTACTCACGAACAGACAGCTGACTAGAAAATCAATTGTCATGTACTTTAACAGGAATGGGGAGGGCTGATGAGTGAGCAAAGGTTATGTCACGGCCAACTGTTAAAAAGTTCACAGCATCTTTGAAGAAAAACCTTAAATATTATTTCATTACTCTTCTTGGTTCCTTCATTAGGTATTTAAAACCACTAAACCTTGGAAAGGACTAATGGATTCTCCAAAATAACAAAGTTAAATTAGCAGCAGGTGTGGTGGCGCACAGCTATAATTCCAGCGCTCAGGAGGGGCAGGCAGGAGGATCAAGAGTTCAAGGCCAGCCTGAGCTGTCTCAAAAAGTTGTAATTTAAACCCGTATGATCTGATTCTTAGTCTAGTGGGCGCTTTTCCACTACACTTTCTCTGTTAAAGTGTTGGCATTCAGTACACACAGTCTTATACAGCGGGACTATCTGTCTGTCAATACTCTGTCATCTGCTGGGCGTAAGACACTAGGAGAATGCCCGTATCTAGGCTCCTTTGTACATACTACTTTCATCCCTCGTCAGAAGATAATGAAGTAACAAATACAACTTCAAGGACCCCTTTAATTTATCATAAAATATTTAAATATATTTGCATGTAATAGCTCATACTTTAATGAGAAATTTTAAAATGAGTTAGGAAGATCAATCATTAATAGTTCAGGCTACAGAAATATCTGAGTTTGTATTTCTTTTCTAATAAATATAACTTCACAGCTGTAAAAAATTAAAAACAAGAACACACTGCATAAAACAGTGAGAAAAATCAAACAATATGCTATCAATTTCCTGCTTTTAACTTTTGAGCATTAATAGCTAGGTATGATGGCACATGCATCTAATTCCCAAACTTGGAAAGCAGAGGCAGGGGGATCAGGAGTTTTGGGATACATAAGATTGTCTCAAAAAAAAAAAAAAATAATTAAAGCTGGGCTGTGGTGGCACACGCCTTTAATCCCAGCACTTGGGAGGCAGAGGCAGGTGGATTTCTGAGTTCGAGGCCAGCCTGGTCTACAGAGTGAGTTCTAGGACAGCCAGGGCTACACAGAGAAACCTTGTCTCGGAAAAAAAAAAAAATCAAAAGGAACAAAAAGTGACCAGTATTTCCTGGGCACCTACAATGTATTTAGCACTAGGCTAAGGATTCTGAGAAATAAGAACAATCTGAAATTATACAATAGAGAACACAGGATGATAACACATTTGTTCAGCCAACAAACACAGAAGTCTAGACAAAACATACAAGAGATCTTGGCCCAGTTATTCTGCAGAGACGGGTCAATTATATGAGTCCTTGTCATTTTCTAGAATAAAAGCCAGTTTAAAAACTCTGATGGCCTTTAAATGACAGGGTTACTGCAATGAGGTAGAAAATGGGAAGCAAAGTAAGAACTATTTGGAGAAACAAGACACCAAGTGGGCAGACTGAGAGCTCCGTGCCCCCGTTGAGGACCTTACCTTTTGACTCAATGCAGCACGGCCCACAAGTCACTCTATAATTTTGTGCTGCTCTCAACCTTGGCCAGTGCGCAGTGGTTGGTGCAGAGACCCAAACTAGGTAAGGGTTGAGAATACGTGACTGTGAATGGTCAGCTGTACGCGGACTAGCTGTATCAAGCCCTCCCTCTCTAAGCTTCAGGGAACATCTCGGAAGAAGGATGTGGAGGAGTATTGTAAACTATCTTCTGGATGAACTCATGGCAGTTGTGGTTACCAACACATGATCAGTCAAAATTCCAGCGTGGATGCTTGGAAAAGGGCTTCCGAGGCCCCACTCTTAGCTGAGGAGCTATTGGCAACTGATGGGTGCTAAGGGAGGGAGAGTCACTTTTCTTTGGAAGGGAGGTGACTGCTAGGTTGCCCATGTTCCCTCCAGTGGATGGCCTCATACCCATATGCATACAGGTAACACTAACTGGGCTTAGTATAGGTTAGGCTAGGCTAGGCTAGGCTAGGCTAGGCTAGGTTAGGTAAGAGACAAAAAGCCAGGAGGGGACATGTCAGAGTGGGTCTGGAGAAGGGAGGTGCAGGGTAGATATACAAAACACATTTGTTTACAAACATCAAAGTCTCAGGGAATAAAACATTGAGATGGGCATGGTGATGCATGCGCTTGGGAGGCAGAAGCAGGCAGATCTCTTTAAGTTTAAGGTCAGCTTGGTCTACATAGCAAATACTAGGCCAGCTAAAGCTGCACAGTGTGGCCTTGTCTCAAATTAAAAAAATAAATATATTAAAAAGTTTTATAAGCAGGATGATGGCAGCATACACCTTTAATCTTAGCACTTTGGAGGCAGGGGCAGGTGGATCTCTGTGAGTTCCAGGCTAGCCTGGTCTACAAAGAAAGGCCCAGGATAGCCAGGGTGGTTACAGAGAGATACCCTGTCTCAGGGAGGGAGGAAGAGGGAAAGGGAGAGGGAGAGGAAAAGAAAGACAAGAAGAAAACAAAATACAAAGCCCTGAATTCCTGCAGAAGATAGGTATGGAAGAACCGTATCGTAATACAGGCGATGGACAACAAAGCCACAGCCAACATCTTACTAACTAGGGAAAAACTGGAGACACAGCCTTCAAATCAACAGGAAGCCATCTACTCTTCCCACCCTTACTCAAAAGGAGTGCCTGAAGTCTTAGGCAGTCCAGACAGGAAAGAGAAACGAGAGGGTGTGAGAGACCATCCCTGTCTGCAGCTGATGCAATCCCACATAAGACCGTAAATTCTCCATCAGGGAGCCAGCCTTAGAAGAAATGAGCAAGGGTGTCCCAGTGCCACAAATGGCTATTTCTGTGTACTTACAAAGAAATGATAAACAAATTCTGAAAATTAGCAGGATACAAAGTGAGCATACAAAAATCAATAGCTTCTCTGCACTTTTCTATAATAACACTGAGAATTCATTCCTAATACCCTCAATATAAACAAGAATGGAATAAGGTTGAGGAGAAAAACAACCCATGTAGTAATGAACCTCATTCACAACAGCCTTGAAAACAAACAAATGACCAGAGACAGGAGAGCCGACGGGAGAGCCAGCAGCAGCAGCAGCTCAGCAACCCCATAGGAAACACTGATAAAGCCAGCAGGCACTGTGAGGCACAAATGCAGCAGGCCGTCCTCAGTGCTAGCCTTCATCTCCTACTCAGATTCCTCCTTCACTCCTCTCATCAACAATGGAGTCGTGGTCCCTGCTCCCCACCATGCCTCCAAGCTTTCACTCGTGCTGCCTCCTCTGTCAAAAAAAGTGCTAAGGCTGTTCCTCATCCTTCAGGACCCAATTCAAGCCATCCTCTTGTACAAAATCCTACTTTGTACAGCACTTGCCTGTGACCACTGTGTTTCTGTAGCAGGTCTCTAACTCCTACCGCATTCTGCACACAGAGGTGGGGACAGGCATGAACAACTGCTACTGTCACTCGGGGATAGACTTCCACCTAGAATTCAGATCCATAGTCCAAAAGCTTTTAACTTACTTATTTTAGTTTCTTTCCTAACATAGTATGAGGCCTAGAATTCACTGTTAGCCCCGACAGAAAACCCAAGTGGTTAGTACCCGGGCTTACCTGTAAATACACTAAAATCACTATATTATTGATACTGTCACAACACCGTCCAAAAATGGTGTTTCACGTAGGGAATTTGGAGTGCTTGTGAGAAAACCCTAAGAAACCAGGACAAGAGTCTTCTAATCTCGAAACACAGACTTGTTCTTGGAATGTGTTTTCATACCCCACTCGGGTGTAACGATTAGGAGTGAGCTTCCTTCAGGTTATTACAGGTGGCTATTGTTACTGGCTTACATGCCTCTGTGAAAAACATGTTTTTGCCATGTTTGGCTTGTCCTTGTGATTCTACTCTTTTCTCATGTGATTCTTCTTAAACCTGAGAGTATAAATGTCTGATGCTCTGAAGAAAGTTGGCTACTGCATGCATCCACCTCATTTGAGGCTCCGTTCTCCCAGGTCCCACCACCTCCAGAACAGTGAACACTCCTGAACTGACAAAAGGCACTAGAACATGAGAGAGAAATAATATTGGAATGACCAAAGTCACTGTACTCAGAACCAATGAAGAAGGAACTGAGGACTGAAGAAGGGGTGTGGGAGCCACATTTGGTTTTACAACAGCCCTCATCCCTAATGTCAGTCATCCAGATTTGCAGGCTGTGAACAATACGCTGGAATTCCAAGTAAGCAACTGAGAGAGCTGGTAGCAGGTAAATGTCCCCAGCCTTACAGAGGCAAAGCTAGTGTGAGCGATGACCAGGAGGAGAGCTATACATAGTAAATGAAGGGTGTAGACACTCACTTGTCGAATCGACATAGTACAGAGAATATACAGGAAGATGAAGGAGCAGTCTGTGGTGTCGTCCCCCAGCAGGTTCCGATGAGACAGTCCTTGGATGTAAGAAAGAGGAGTGAAGGGGAGCTTCGCCACCACTCTGCCATCGAATCTGAAATGACAAGATAAACAACAAAAAAGCGGAGAACTGTTATTTTTAGAAAATCAACAAAGCTATTTTCAGGAAAAAGCACAGGTACAAGTAGGACACACTTTAACTAGGACTGAAGGTACAGTGGTGTGCAGAAGGACCTGGCTAATCAGTGCCTCTCAGTGCTTCTGCTAGGAAGACCCTGCACACTCAAATTACAGAGGACCCAAAAGACTTGTGTACAGTCCAGCTATTAATATGTGGTCTATTCGAAACTGAGATAATAATTATTTTAAGTATCCTCTTAGCTGGGCAAGGTACTCAAGTACTCAAAATGCAGAGGCAGGTGGATCTCTCCGAGCCTACACATAGTAAGTACAAGCTAACCAAGGCTGTGTAGTGAAACCCTGCCTCAAAACAAACAATACACTGCACTGCACTGCACTGCACTGCACTGCACTGCACTACACTACAGGCTGGAGAGATGGCTCAGCAGTTGCCATCACTTGCTGCTCTTACAGAGGATCAGGGTTCGATTCCTATCACCCCTATCATGGCTCGCAATAGCCTTGTAACTCCAGTTCCAGGAGATTTCATCTGACCTCTGCAGATACCTTGTGCATACATGCAGGCAAAACACTCATATACATTTTAAAAAGTGTACCCTCCTAAGTAGCAAGGAATCTGATATTCGATAACATGCATATTTTTAATGAAAAATAACTTTTAGGGGCCAGCAAGATGGCTCATTATGTAAAGGTGACTGCTGTCCAGCCTGATGGAACCAACAGGGTGAAAGGAGAAAACCACCTCCTGTAAGTTGACCTCTGACCTCCATAATGTACCTCAACACATGTGAGTATACCCTCCACAAAACACAAGACAATTTTTTAAAAAAGATTTAAAAAGTATTTTGGGGGAAAATGTATTCTAAAATTAAAAAATGCTAAGAAGAGAGGTATTTTTAACTTCTGAAATAATCTAATAGTTGTCTCATAAGAAATGATGGGGTTCACAATGCTCAGTCTTGGGGTTCTACAGCATCACACATCAGGACACTTGTGAGACAATGAGGGTGACAGAGAGGAACATCGTGAGATTTATGAAAACTGCAGACTCCTTGGAAGGATGCCACAGATACTCAGGAAAACCTAAACCACATCTTGGGAAACCTGGGTCTAAACCTTATCTTGAAAAATATGGCCGGGCGGTGGTGACACACGCCTTTAATCCCAGCACTTGGGAGGCAGAGGCAGGTGGATTTCTGAGTTCGAGGACAGCCTGGTCTACAGAGTGAGTTCCAGGACAGCCAGGGCTACACAGAGAAACCCTGTCTCGAAAAACAAAACAAAACAAAACAAAACAAAACAAAACAAAACAAAACAAAAAAATGGTAGAAAGAGACTAAGACACTAAACTCAGCTTCTGGCCCTCATCCTCCACCCACCTACATACACACAAGCACACACAGAGACAACCATGTACACTATGGGTAAGGGAGAAGCAGCAGCAGAGATTTTTCATTTATTTGAAACAGAGTTTCTCTGTGTAGCCCTGGCTGTTCTGGAACTCACTCTGTAGACCAGGCTGGCCTTGAACTCACAGAGGTCCGCCTGCCTCTGCCTCCTGAGTGCTGGGATTAAAGGCGTGCGCCACTGTTTACTTAGCTGCCAACGTTTTTAAAGAGAAGATCTTGCTATAGCCCAAGCTGTCCCAAAATTGCAATCTCTCTGCTACAGCCTCAACAATCATCCTGCCTTCCCTTCCCCAGAGCTCCTTGGCAAAGTCTAACTAAAGTGACTTCCCCCAGATGACCATGAGATCACATACAGAATAGCTAAACAAACTTCCTCAACCTAATAAAGGAAAGAGTTGGTGCAAGGCAGACTGTTTCCTTAAGCACACTTAAGCTTTGCAAATCCAGAGCAAGACTGCTACTCTTGAGCAGAAGTACATGGAACCATATCCAGACTCAGTAAAAGGAATTATTTCTTTTAAAAACAGAGTTTACTTTAGTCTAGGGAGAGCCTAGCTGGAATGACTGTGAACACCCGATCCTCCTGCGTCTACCCTGGGGTGCTTGGAAATGGCACTGCCAGAGCACTGAAGCCCACATGGTATGAAAGTGGTATGCTGTTCATCACCATACACAAAAATAATAAATGAGGGAAAACAGAATTATAGGACAGAAATCATGTGATTTCCAGATACCCCATAGTTATTTAATCTTCCAATGTCTTCCAGCTCTAGAGGCCTATGGCTCCAAGAATGATCAGCTACGTAGAACGGGGGGTTGGGGGGCTGAGTTCTTTTTAAGATACGGTCTCACTATGTAGCTCTAGCTGACTTGAAACTCACTATGGAGACCAGGCTGCCTTTGAATTCACAAGATCTGCTATCTCTGCCTCCCCAGTGCTGGGATATTAAAGTCAAGTGCCATCTTGCCTGGCTAGAAATTTAACATTTTTTTATTTGGACATTCTTTAAACCTCTCACGTAGATAAAAAATAACCACTTTCTTCTTCTTTCCCTAGTCTACCTCATACATATTTCTATCATAACACCCATCAGTGTATCATTTGCTTGTCTCCTATCTTCCCATAAAATTTTGATAGCACTGAGACATAGGAAGTAAGGGTAGACGTTGGAAGAAGACAAAAAGGAAGTGTGAGAAAAAAGAGAGCGGGAGGGAGGCAAGGAAACAAGAAAGCCAGTGCCAGTCTGCTGACGTGGTACAGTCCAGTGAACTCTGCATGTCTGCCTAGTTCTGTCAAAGCAGCGTCTCATGATTGCGCCATTCTCCTACTCTGTTTAAACAACAGTACCTGAACAAGATTATAGTTGTTAAGACTCTATTTTAAGGTCAAAATGTTTTCATATGAATACCTTCAGTTTGAAGAAGCATATTAGTAAGCAATTTAAAAACAGAGGGAGATACTGAATTATTTCTAAAGACTATATAATGTCTAAGCTTTTATCTGATGACCAAACATTCTCACTGTTAAGTAGATTTAAAAAGTTATTAGGAACTAGGCAGTGATTATGCTTGCCTTTACTCCCAGCACTCAGGAGGCAGAGGCAGGAGGATCTCTGAGTTTAAGGGCATCCTGGTTTATAGAGCAAAGTCCAGGACATCTATGACTACACCAAGAAACCCTGCCTCAAAACACAAACAAACAATCAATGCTTCTCAACTGTGGTGGTTTGAATAAGCTTGACCAAGGGAGTGGCACTATTAGGAGGTGTGGCCTTGTTGGAGGAAGTATGTCACTGTGGAGGTGGGCTTTGAGACCCTCCTCCTAGCTGCCTTGAGACAGTCTTTTCTTGTTTGCCTTTAGAACAAGATATAGAACTCTCAGCTCTTCCTGAGCCATGTCTTCCTGGATGCTGCCGTGACTCCTGCCATGATGATACTGGACTGAACCTCTGAAGCTGTAAGCTAGCTTTAATTAAATGTTGTCCTTATATAAGTTGCTTTGGTCATGGAGTCTCACCTCAGCAATGGAAAGCCTAACTAAGACATCAACTGTCCTAGTGCTGCCACCCTTTAATACAGTTCCTCATGTGACCACCAAGATGATTTTCATTGCTACTTCATAACTATAATTTTACTACTGTTATGAATAGTAATGTAACTATCTGTTTTCTGATGGTCTTAGGCCACCCGTGAGAGTTGACAGCTCCCCTGCCCAAAAAGGGGGGGGGGGGGAGTTCTGACTGCTATATTATATGATTGTATTTTTAAAATGAAATTCTTATTTACATTATATTGAAGTTACTAAAACAAAAAAGAGGATGGTGAGATGGTTCAGAGGATAAAGTCACTTGCCATCATGCCTGACGACCTGAGTACAAACCCCAGGACCTATCTGATGGAAGGAGGGAACAGATTCCAGCAAGTTGTCCTCTGACCTCCACTCACGCAAGTTGTTTTAAAAATAAAATTCCCAGCTGTCTGACTTTACCAGTGGAGACTCAGGAGCCAGAGCTGGGGTGAAAACCTGCTAGCTCAAAGAGGCAGAGAGAAGCACCCAGCTGACCCTCCCACTCCACCAGTCTCCTTCTCCACAAGTCTAAACACCTCCCAACTCAAAGGTCCTCCTTTCTGCTCACTTAGATCACTCCCTGCCAGCTAGTTACTTGCTTGGCCACTTGACCTGTGTTGACTTTCTTTAGCTCTTGAAGTACTTGTTGACAGCAAACAGAAAGCGCTAGGATCAAAGGCTGAGCCACATCACAACCACAAACAGGTTCTGACAGTTCACAATCTCAGGGTTCACAAAGTGATCAAACGTCCTGCAACATATGCATGCACATGTGTTCGTTCTCTCTCTCTCTCTCTCTCTCTCTCTCTCTCTCTCCCCCCCCCCCCCATATTAAATAAGGTCTTTAGGAAATCCACACTGACGTGGTGGTGAGTACAGAAGCATGGAGACTACTGCATATATCAAATGATTATAAACAATACATGACAGTGAGGATATGCGCAGAGCACACCACACACCAGTACTGTACACTCACATAGTGAATATAAGCCATTTTTAAAAGGGCAGACAGCATGGGGAAATTCGCTCAATATACAATGTATACTTGTAACACATACAATAAATATATACAGTGAAAATGTTTTCCTTGATACTTGAATAATGTATAAGTTTGAAATTTTGTTGCCTTTCTTCCATTTTGCGGGGAGGAGAGGGCAGGGGTTCAAGACAGGGTTTCTCTGTGTAGCCCTGGCTGTCCTGGAACTCACTCTGTAGACCAGGCTGGCCTCGAACTCAGAAATCCGCCTGCTTCTGCCTCCCAAGTGCTGGGATTAGAGGCGTGCACCACTGCTGCCCGGCTTCTTTCATTTTTTTTGAGAGAGGATTTGGCTATGGGGTGTAGGTTGGCATCAAACTCAGAATTACTTTGAAATTCTGTCAGATACAATATTACTACAAATCTTACCACTCACATGCATTCAAACAGAACATTCATTAGGCAGAAGCATATAAAAGGTTACTCACATGGAATTAAACATTCCCATTAAGGCAGTAAAACAAAAGCCAATCGCAAACATGGATTTCATCCGTACCTACAAGGAAAGCAAAAACTGATCACGTCACACTAAATACATACATCTCATACCACAGAAAATGAAGTTTCATGTAATTGTCTTTGAAAGTGTTCCATAGAGCTGGTGTGGTGGCAGGCAGAGACAGGCTGATCTGACAGGAGGAGGTGAACTGTGAGGCCAGGCTACACAGGGAGTTTCTGTCTCAAAAACAAACAAAGAAAAAAATGATTTCTTTTGCAAAAAGCTCCTTGTTATCTAAGTTACCTTCCATCTCTGGTCCGTCCTCTCCTTGTTACTTGTAAGAAACTGGGATAGCTCTGAGGCCACACGCTGGCCAATCAATCAGTCATAAGTAACAAGAGCTGACTGGGATATCTGTATTATTATTATCGTGGAGTCTGGAATTCTTGGACTCACTGAACCTCGGCCTGTGTGATGAGCAGCTGGGATCGGAGGCATGAACTCCCATACTATCTGGCTCTGAAAAGCCCTGTTTAAAGGACTCTTCTTAGGCTTTTTTCAAGGGGTAAGATGGTGCAACTGAAATGAAGAACAAAATGCCTCAGGGAAAGCATCAACCAGTCAGGTGAACTTGAGGGCATGCTAAGTTACGACACCAGCTTAGGGCTGCCGACCTCTTGACTTCATGAGCAACAGAAAGCAAGCAACATGGTAGGCACTATGAGTTAGGTATCCTGTTATTTTCAACTAAATTCTTATTAAATTCCATATCCCATAAATGCATAAATAGATACAAACAAGTATAAAGATGTAGTTGTCAGACAGTATCTCTGGATCACTTGGCAATTTTTATTTTTATAATTTCCAAATAGTGAACATGATAAACATTGTGCTAAAGGTGAAAAAATTTGCTTTTTAAAACATCTCCCTGGGGCTGGAGAGATGGCTCAGTGGGACCTGAGTTCAATTCCCAGCAACCACATGGTGGTCACAATCAACTGTAATGGAATCTGACGCCCTCTCCTGGAGTGTCTGAAGACAGCTACAGCGTACTCACAAAAAACAAATACATAAGTTGAAAAAAAAAAAAAAAAGGAAAATTTGCCAGGCAGTGGTGGTACGTGGCTTTAATCCCAGCACTCAAGGGGCAGAGGCAGGGGGATCTCTACGGGTGAAAGGCTAGCCTGGTCTACAGATCAAGTTCCAGGGCAAACACGGCTAAGCAAAGAAACCCTGACTCAAAACAAAAACAAACAAAACCAAAAAAACCTTAAAAAACTTAAGAAAGTAAGACATGGAGTGTCATTGTAACTACTGTATTGTAAGCAACAGAAACAACTGTAAATGTTATTCTGGGATGTGTTTTTTCCATCAGTATTTTATTTCTAATAATGTTTATGCCCCTTACTGCACATAAAAACTTGAATATATCAGTATCAAAGAAAAAAAAAAAAGGAAGGCATTTCTGAAGAACACAAATTATAACCTCCAAAGCAGCCTTTACAAACAGACTATTAAAATGAAGGGTGTTTTTTGGAGGGGGTGAGGGGTTGTTTGTTGGTTTTCTTGAGACAAGGACTTCCTAGGTAGCCCTGGCTGGCCTGGAACTCAGAGATTCCACTTGCTTCTGCTTTTGAGTGCTGGGATTAAAGGCATACACCACCATGCCAGCTTTAAAATGAAGTTTAAATGTGGCAGATATTTTAATTCTATTTAGTTCAATAATACCGATTATTTATATTGTTATTTATAGCCCTGATAGGTGATAAATTTTAACTTAAATGTAATGTATTTGATGCAAATAGGCTTTTTGCTAAAAAAAAAATAGCTTCTGTGGTGTACCATCAGTTAGTTATCCTCTGGACTCTTACCATTGACAGGTCTCTATTGTTGTTCTTTAGTTTCTCTTCTTGTCTCTCTGAAAAGAATAAACTGGTTAGTTCAAAAATACTGAGCACAACCTAATTCTTGAATAAATTATCACTCTCTGGAGATTATAATAGCATTTTGTTTCTTTTTCTTTCTTTTTTGGTTTTTCGAGACAGGGTTTCTCTGTATAGCCCTGGCTGTCCTGGAACTCACTTCTGTAGACCAGGATGCCCTCAAACTCAGAAATCCGCCTGCCTCTGCCTCCCAAGTGCTGGGATTAAAGGCGTGCGCCACCATTGCCGGCAGCATTTTGTTTCAATAGCACTCAATAAGATGAAGTGAATACACGGGCTGTTGCTTATTCTATACTAATACAACGTTTAAATATAAAAGAATGCCAAAATATTTCAATTTAAAAAGCACTATGAGTGGCACTTACAGATCAGTGGGAACCAACAGATGTCTAATTGGACTCATGGCCCACTAAACGAGAGGGAAATCATGCTTAGAAAGCTAGCCAATTTCCTGGAGCTAGTGAGGTCACAGATCTTAGAAGACTACCGGGTTGGCTGATCTTCTAGTGGATGTGGGTCCAATTCCCAGCACCCACATGGAGAGGCTCACAAGTTAAAAGTTTGAAAAACAGAAACTCAATCTACTACCTTCACTTTGGCATGCCATGTAACTCCTGTCTACTGTAAATCTTGTCCTTATCCTACAGATAAGTGTCATCCTCATCAAAGAAGCTTCTCTTAGCAAAAAATGGAGATCATCACTAAAAATCACAAGTCAACACAAAGCAGAAAACAACAGACTGTGCAGAACCCAGCCCCAGTGGATACACCTACACCATAGGTCCTGCATCCCTGCTCAGGGAATATCACAAAAGAAGGAGCAAAAGGACTGTACACGTCAGAATACTGGGAAGTCTGATGCTGAACCTGACTCTCCTAGAAATGGCTGCATAAACAAGATCAGAACAATGGCAAAGCAACAGACAACAGACTTGATAACGTGGAAGGGACAGGACTTCACAGGGTCCCACCCACAGATAAAACTTTATGAAACTAACGACTACTGGGAGGGGAAAATTAGCTTTGCTCAGGGATGAGCCCTCTTATTGGCTATTCCATACAAAGCGGTCAGTTTTGAAGCAATATACACAAAACAACAAAAACAGAAGAACCAGATAGTCTTTACTTGCTTGTGCATGCAAACACATACATGTGCATGCAAACACATACATCTATGTAACAATAATAAAGAATAAGAGGCTATGACTTAGGACGGGAGGAGGTATGGGAAGGTGTGAGGGGCAGTACCTGGGAGGAGCTGGAGAAGGAATGGGGTACAGTGATATAACTATTTAATTAAAAATATTATTTAAAAACCTGGGTGGTGGTGCTGTATGCCTTTAACACACACAAACACATACACTGACACACACAACCCAAGTTGTATTTGGGTTACTGTCTCACCTATCTTCTTTTTCTGTTGTCGACCAGCTGACTCTGTTATAGTTTCCTTCTTCTTCTCTACTGTACACATAAACACATAAAATTATATATTAAAAAGATGCTCTCTCACAGATGAATTACTACAAAGCTACACTGACCAGCTTTGGTCATGATTGAGTTAACTGGCCTACTCCCTTAACTGCTAGCAGAAAAGAAAAACTAAGCATTTACTTAGTATGTGTAAGCCCTAATTTTTTTCAAAGCTGCCATGTAAACAGAACTGCTTTACAGGTATCAGTATTCTCCAGATAACAAGATTTACATCAGCACTAAACAAATCTAGGTTTAATTGTAATTCAAACCTATTTATAAACCTGAGCCGGGCCGTGGTGGCGCACGCCTTTAATCCCAGCACTTGGGAGGCAGAGGCAGGCGGATTTCTGAGTTTGAGGCCAGCCTGGTCTACAGAGTAAGTTCCAGGACAGCCAGGGCTACACAGAGAAACCCTGTCTCGAAAAACCAAAAACAAACAAACAAACAAACAAACAAACAAACCTGAAAACACCCCATGGCTAGTCCCATACTGACGTCTGAATATAAAGACCAGGGATAAAATGACACACTCACATTCATGTGCTCAAGTGCTCCATAGAGAGCTCTATGGATAAATCAGAAAACTACACAGATCTGACTCTATCTGGTGACTAAGTAAACCTAAGAGCTTACTACAGAAATACAAAAAGAAAACTTCACCATGTAAAGGAATAGCAAGCACTAAGGACCAATAGTAGGAAAATCCAAGCCAGACGTGGTGGGTGATATGCCCTTGTAATGCCACTCGCACGTGAGTATGCCATGTCTGTACAGATGCCCACAGGGCCATGGATCCTTGGAACTGGAATTACAGGCAGCCATGAGCCACATGATGTGGGTACTGAGTCCTCTTACAAGAATAGAAAGCATTCTTTTTTGTTTTGTTTATTTGTTTTTTTGTTTTGTTTTTGAGACAGGGTTTCTCTGTGTAGCCCAGGCTGTCCTGGAACTCACTCTGTAGACCAGGGTGGCCTTTAACTCAGAAATCTGCCTGCCTCTGCCTCCCAAGTGCTGGGATTAAAGGCGTGCGCCACCACGGCCCGGCTGTAGAAAGCATTCTTAACTGCTGCTCTATCTCTTGAGGGCTAATGCCTATCTACCAACTTTCCTTTCTTTTCTCCTTCCTTCCTCCCTTCCTTTCTACTTCTTCTCACCACTATGCAATTCTTGGCTGTCCTGAACTGCAGACCAAGCTGGCCTTAAACTCAGAGCCACCACATCTGGCAGCTGCTGCTGCTCCTCTGTTGTTTGTTTGTTTGTTAGTTTGAGACATGGTCTCTCTATGCAGCTCTGACTGACCTGAAACTTGTTATATAGACTAGACTGGCCTGGAACTCAGAGATACTCCTGTCTTTGCCTCAGAGATTTAAGTCTGGCTCACTGCTTTCTTGAAGTTGGGTTTAACTATGTAGCTTGCTCAGACTAGCCTCAAGCCCAGGACTCTCTGTTTCAGTGTCCTGAATATTGGAATTATGGACATATGCCATTCCACCCAGTACATAGGTCTTTTATCCTAAAAGCCATATAAAGGAGATAAGTAACATAACCAGATCTATGTTCTGAAAAAGTACTCTACACGTACTCTGCAAAGTAAATCTGAGTAACTGAGGGCAGACAAATGAAGTGCTGGAATAGACTCAACGAAACATGTTACTTTAAAATAGGTGGGCTTGGCAGATATGGGAGATGTAAGAATATCTGAAACCATTCAAGAGGACAACAGTTACAGGCTTTAATAACAAAATACAGGCAGGAAGTAATAACAAATACTTAAACAAAGGGAGCGTGCCTTAAAGCTGTAACCCCTAGGCTAGAAAGAAGGTCAACTGGGAGGTCAAGGGCAGCCTGAGATACACTTCGAGTTCTAAGTCAGTCAAGGCAAGAGTGAGACCTGTCCCCAAACCTAAAATAGAACAAAACACAAAACTCAAAACCAAAACAACTTCCCCGTTTACCACGGCCAGCCACTGCTCTAGTCACGCAGGGTGCATCCGTGAGCAGCAGAGAGCTAGGCCCTAGCAGCATTTTCATGCTAGTAAGTAGAAGCCAGAAACAAAAAAAGCAAGCATATAACTTGTTTTTTAAAAGGTTTTTGGATTTCACTGCTAGATGCACAAAGTCACTCAGGTAAGAGAATCCTGGAGGAAGGTCATGTTTGTGAAGGTAAGCATAATGAATTTGGTTTGGATACGTCGAGCCAACAGTATCAACACTGGATAAAGGATGGCGAACTGTAATTTTAAAAGTCTAGGCTCAAAAACAAAAGTCTGAGTTTAGTCTCCAGTTCTTTGTTTTCATGTACTGTAAGTCTATCATTAACTTTCTGAGGCTCAATCTCCTGTCCCATAAGGTGAAGACATTTTTATAACCAACCGAGACGGTTGCTATGGGAACCAAATGACATATTTTTTTACTGCTGAGGATGCAACTCCAGGCTTTGGGCACGCTAAGCACAGACTCTATCACAGTTCTATACTCTGGGCCCCTCACGTAAGATAATTTGGGTGAAGAAGTGCAAGGGGAGCTGAGGAGTGCAGCTCAACTGGCAGAGTGCAGAGATTGCCTCAGAGATTTAAGGGATGTACCAAGTCTACCATACACGAAGCCCTGAGTGCAGTCCCCAGCACCCCACACACTGGACATGATGGTGACTAACTGTGATCCCAGCACTCAGGAAGCAGAAATAGGAGGATCAGAAGTTCAAGGTCAACCTCAGCTAACAGAGTTCAAAGCTAGTCTGGCCTATATAAGACCCTGTCTAAAATTAAAAACAAAAACAAAAAACAGAACAAAACAACAACAAAAAACTGACGCTCACAAAACTTACAAAGATATAAAGAAATAAGAAGGATATAGGGCTAAAGCTAGCTGTAGAAACTCTTAGGAGTCAAGTTAGCGGTGGTTTTGGGTTCCATCACTTGGAAGGTAGGACAATCAGCTCAAGGTCATTTTCAGCTAGTGAGTTCAACATCAACCAGGGATAAATGAGACCCACCTCAAAAACACAAAACAAAAAGAATACTGGATACCAACTGTGCTTTTACAGAATCATTCAGAGTCCCAGTAACTGGGGGGCTGAGGGCGAGGCATAATAAATTTGAGGACTATCTAGGCTACCTATGGCCTTATTTAGATAATCAGTTGTGCCCTGATAAATTTTAACTTTACCTCAAAGGCCACAAATTTTATCCACTTTAATCATTTTTCCAAACATTTTTCAGCTTTCTCACCCACCTGAAACTTGGCTTAACTAAAGGGTACCACTTCCATTGACAGTAGTCATAATGAGTTATTCCCCAAACACAGCCCACATACTAAAATTCCCACGTTTACTAATGGGATTTGTCCTTTACCTAGAATTTCCTCTCCCTGTCTTATTTTCTATCTACATTCTAACTAGCCCACAAGCTGGCCTGTATCATGGGGCCTTCCATAGTCCCTCACAACAGAACAGGACCTCCTCTTTAAAATTAAGACAGGCTATCTGTCTTGTCTGTCTATGCCATGACCCCTTTCCCCTGTCGTCCCCACACACACACACACACACACACACTTAGCAAGGTCTCAATATGCAGTTCTGGCCTGGAATACACTATGTAGATCAGGCCTGTCTATCTACCACACACAGATTCCTTTTAGCTTTATTAAAGACACTGCACAAAGGTCTTTAATTTCTATTTTTATCAAGTTGGATTATGGTTTTGTTTGTAATGTGAATCTCCCTATGTAGCCCACACTAGCTTCGAACTCACAATCCTGTCTTGATCTCCTGAGTGCTGAGATTTCTGATGCCCTAACAAGGAATACTGAACTCTTTTTGTATTCTTGGTATGCTCCCAAAATAGTTACTGTGAACATGCACTCAACGAACTTACTGCGTCGAAACTTCCACCATGTTACCATACTCACATTTTTTACTTTGTTTTTCCACTTCTGCCTTCAATCTCTTGTATTTGTCCGTCCTGTAAACCAGGACCCAGGTTATGCCTAAAAGATTAAAAGCATCATGCTAATGAGAAATTAATGGAAATCACAACGAACTATCTTTAATTGTTTGTGTTGGAAACAATAGGATTTCGACATTTTGCAATATACTTATCAATAATTAACTTTTTTCCAAGTCAAATCAAAACATGTGTTTTTTTTTTAAATGGATCCACAAATACGTAAAGAAAATGAGGAAGTATGATTCCACACTATTCTCCTACTTCTATAGGGGATGAGCCCAGAATTTCTTGCATGGACCACGCAGGTCGCAGGAAGTGAGGGAGGCTCCCGATCTTTCTTCAAGGGGTGCGAGGGACCTGAGTGCTCTTTCACCCTGAGACTAATCAAACGTCCAAGAAACAGCCACCCTCACCCTCGGCGAGCAGCGCGGTGCACACGGAGATAAAAACGATGAGCAGCGTGTCTGCAAACATGGTGCTCATCTCGCTCGTCCGTCCCTGCGCTCCCACCCTTCACGGGGGAAGCACTCAAGAGGCAGAGAGACCGGGAAGACACTTCGCGGGACCGACCCTCGAGGAGCACTACAACTTTGACAGCACGGACTCCACACTTCCGCTTCCGGGGCACCGACCCGGAATTGCACGTTTCACTCTTGATGTGTGGCCAGTTGAGTCGGAAGAAAGCGGCAGTCCGCAAGTCTCGGGGGCTGAAGGCGCGCGCCAGACCCAGTCTCGCGAGAGTTGGAAATACAGTTTCGTCGGAGAATGGCGGTGTGGTGGAGCGTCTACCTCCTCGGTGGTGTGTTCACTGCTCTCCGAGCCCGATCGCCCATCTCACCACAAGAATCCTGTCATGCGGTGTCTGGGCTTCGCCTTCAGCCCCACCTCCGTGGCCGAACAGTTAGGCTAACACGTACCGCCAGGGTTTGGGTGCTCGCCCCTGGTCGCCAGGCTGGGCGCGCCAAGTTGAGGTAGTCCTCGGCTGCCTTTATTACGCCGGAGGACGGAGACGGTCGCACACTTAGCTGCGGCTGAGGTTTTATTGGAAGGACAGTTCTGCGGTGGCACAGTTGACGAGAAAGAAGTGGAAACGTTGAATTCAAGGATTAGAAGTGTTTCTGGAAAAAGCAAAGAGTGAAAGGCGGGGGTGGGGTGGGGAGAAAAAGGAAAAGGCATGGTGGGTAAAAGTAGAATGTCTTGAGAGAGGGTCATAAACTCAGATGTCCTCTGTGAGGGACTGTAAATTACCTTCATGCAAGAAGATGACGGGAAGTCTCTGATAAGAGCACTCAATTCCTCCCAGTTCTCCGATCTGGTCTTTTTCTTCAGGAAAACTCAGAAATCTTCATTTGTGCGTTGGTTTGTTTTGAGACAGGCTCGCACTATGTAGCCCTGGTTGACCTGGAGCACACAAGAGAGCCACCTGCCTTAGCTTTCCATAACAGTGTGTGCCACAATGCCCACTTGCATTGTCTGTCACTGGTTCTTCCAAATTTCATTGCACACTATTTATAAATCTTCCGTGACATTACCTTTTTATTTTCTCTTGCCTTATACTTACACGGGGCTCCTGTAATAGACATTAGATATATGTCTATTAAATAAAGAAAAATGTATCTCTTGCCTAGACATTAAATATATGTCGGGAACAGTACTGGGCCCTGTAGGATGGAGTAAGATAACATTCCTTGGTTCCAAAATTCCTCAGGGAAATTGTATGCCATAGTAAGATATAACAGTTACAGCTAGTGTTGAGAGCGCAAGACCGGTTCTTCCTGGGGGATTTAGAAAGGCTTCAGAAAGGTCAATCCGAGCTGAGCCTTGGTTTGAGTAGTAGTTCAGACAAAGGTATGTTTTTATTTAATCTTCTCCATCACCCAAGGTAAATGTTGAGATAGGACAAAAGGATGACCTTTGAGACCTGCAGACTTTCAGATCTGGCTCTGCTGCTTGAATATACTGTGTAAGTCCTTTAGCCTCAGTTTTCTTCAACCATTAAGGACTCCAGCTGCGTCAAACTGTCAGACGATTGAGCTGTGCTGGATGTGCATATTTAACAAGTTAAATATGGCCGGGTAGTGGTGGCGCATGCCTTTAATCCCAGCACTCCAGAGGCAGAGGCAGGCAGATTTCTGAGTTAAAGGCCAGCCTGGTCTACAGAGTGAGTTCCAGGACAGCCAAGACTACACAGAGAAACTCGGTCTCGAAAAACGAAAAAAAAAAAAAAAAAGAAAGTTAAATATGATACTGATTGTATAATACTAAAAGAGTCTAGTTAAACCATACTACACTGTAGCTAGATACACGATCTTAAAATTATGAAAAGTGAAGGGTCAGCATCAGTGAAATGTGGATGGAGACAACGCTGTCTTCTAAGACAATGCTCTGTTCTAAGATCTGAGTTCTGGTCCTCTGCACCCACATGGAAGCTCACAACCAGCTAACTCCAGCTTCGGGTGATCTGGTGCCCCCTTCTGGCCTCTGCAGGCATGCACATATATTCATGGGGGCAAAAACATCAGCCATGCATGGTCACAATCCCAGATTTGGGAAGTAAGCAGATTGCTGAATTCAAGGCTAGTCTGGTCTACAGAGTGAGTTATAGGACAACTAGGGCTACACAAACCCTGTATTGAAAAACAAAACTGCTGGGCGGTGGTGGCACACGCCTTTAATCCCAGCACTTGGGAGGGAGAGACAGGCGGATTTCTGAGTTCGAAGCCAGCCTGGTCTACCGAGTGAGTTCCAGGACAGCCAGGGCTACACAGAGAAACCCTGTCTCTAAAAAAACAAAACAAACAAACAAAAAAAAACAAAAAGAAAAACAAAACTAATAAGTAAACTTTAAAAAATGAAGCCAGGGTGGTAGTGCATGCCTTTGATCCCAGCACTCTGGTGGCAGAAGTAGGCGGATCTCTGTGAGTTCAAGACTGGCTTGGTATACAAGGAGTCCCAGGACAGCCAGGGCTACACAGAGGAACCCTGTCACTGAAAGCCAAAAAGAAGAAATGAGAACTAGAGACTGACTCAGCAGTGGTTAAGAGCACCGACTGCACTAAAGGATTTATATTCAGTTCCCAGCACCTACAAAGCTTTTGTCAGAGCTGTCTGTAACTCTGGTTCCAGGAGATCATACACTCTCTGGCTGAGGGCAGAGGCACACAGATGGTTCATAAATTCAGGTAAAGGACCCACACACATAAGATTTTTTCAAATGATTAGTCAATGAAATGGACTGATAAAAAGTATCTCAGCTGTCACTGTGCAGATGTTTACAGTGTGAACAGCAGCTGCTAAGATACTTAGCGGGACGGTGGTGTGATGTCACAGTCCTGCACATTATTGAAGAACTGTCTTAATTCAAATAATACTCTCCCTAGCAGACAGTATTTAGATTTAGAAGCTCTTCTGGAAACCATCCCCCACAGCACATTGTCGCACTTCAGGCTCTAGGACTGTGCCAAAGCTTTTGTCTGTGACTTCCTTTATTCTCCTTAGTAGTATCTGGTATGTTTGGTGACAGCTAGAATCCTCTTTAGTTTATATTTGCTTCTTGCTGTGTTACCACTTCCTGTGGAAGGTAAATAGGCACTAACCTTCAAATGTTGCACATTACCGGTAGAATTAGTAGTACTGTTTTTTTAAAGAGCGCCAGACTTAGCCATCAGAAATAAACTCAAGAGAATTGTCTCTGTTTATACTCAAGTATGAAACAATATGGGTACTAGGTTTCAGTCTTTGCCACTCTTTAACTGGTTACTTTTGCAAGTTACTGATATTTAGTTTCTCTGAGCCTTTTGAAAAATATCTGTTTAATGAGAGTAAAACTGCTTTCATGTTACTGTGTGGAGTATGTAGGATTAAGTGCAAAGTTCTGAAGTTGGAAGGACTGCTTTCCTTCCCATCTGGACCACTGACAAGCTAGATATTTAATTGTAGGCAGCGAGTCACTGCAGTGTGCTTTGATTTAATGAGAGCAAAGTGAGACACTAGTTATGCTGGTGCCGAAATCCAAACCCTTCAGTTAGTTTCCTGCCCCCCACCACCACCAAACCAAAGGAAATCGTTACACTTGGTCATCACAGCTGAAAAGGGAGAACGGTGAGGAGAAGAAAAAAGGAATTCACTGTCCCTGCTGAGCATAGTGCCACAGGCCATAATCCCACCAGTGCAGTCAGGAGGCAGAGGCCAGGCTGGGCTATGTGGTGAGTTCTAGGCCAGCCACTCAGGACTATAATGTAAGATGCTGCATTAAAAAAAACAAAAAGGCTTTATTCTGCCTGGTCTATAATACGTATAATACAGTTATTGCTAGTGATGTACTGGTTCTATTAAAACACTGAGGACTCAATCCTTGGGCTGACATTCTATCACTTCATTTACATTGTCTCGTCTCTTCTCCTCTCTCTCTCTCTCTCTCTCTCTCTCTCTCTCTCTCTCTCCTCTTAGATATGTAACACCATATCTAAGTGGTTTGCAAACCTGAAATGAAGGCACAGTTCTCGGAAGTGCCCTTTGACTTGTCCACATAGCAAGTTTTATGGATTTCCTTATTTCCCTTATCTTGTCAGTCCTCACACATTTCTGTCGTCATCGAGTCTAATTCACACCAGGACGGTTCATGTGTAGAATAGTTTTCTAACTAGTCACACATAGGAAATTCTTTCCCCTCGCCCAGCCACTCTTCCCGTGTCGGCAGTGCAATCCTTACAAATGCAGAGTGACTAGATATGGAGAACTGGGGGCAAGAAGGAATTGAAGTCATCGTCCAGAGTGTTTTGCCCCTAAACACTTAAAAATATTCACAGCAAAAAACAGGTATTGTGCGTGGTTCCTGTGCCCACACCTGCACTCTTAACCACTGAGCCATGTCTGCAGCCAGAAAACTTCATAGCAAGACCTTGTCTAAGAAAGGAAAGAGAGAGAGAGGAAAAAAAAAAACCTTAAAAAAGAAAACACAAAAATATTAAAAATTAAATCTAACATCCCTAAACACTCTGTCTCCTTCCCTCCCCCCTCTTTCCCTCCCTCCTTCCCCCTCCTTCTCTCTTTCTAGATCTGGCATAAGGCAACAGACAGTATAAGTAAATAGGGCCAGTGAGATGCCTCATCAGATAAAAGCACCTACTGTAAGCTTGATGACCAGAGTCCTATCCCTGGTTCAAGGAGAGAAGTGACTTAGAAAAGTTGTCCTCTAGCTTCATATGTGGACCATCCCATGCAGGCAGACACACACCACAGCACACGTACACACAAGTTTGACTATATATTGGTTTTTCTGTGTAGCCCTGGCTGTCCTGGAACTTGCTCTGTAGACCTGGTTGGCCTCACAGAGATCTGCCTGCCTCTGCCTCCTGAGTGCTGGGATTAAAGGCATGTGCCACCACCAATTGGCTAATAAAGTAAAAATTTAAATAAAGTCAGTGATAAGGAAGACAAAATAAAGGTATTATTAGTCAAATTTGTATTAGTTACTTGAGTCCATGAAAAAAAAAAAAGCTTTAATCCCACACTTGGGAGGCAGAGACAAGTGGATCTGTGAGTTCAAGGCCAGCCTGGCCTACCTAGCAAGACCCTGTCTCATAGAAAAAAAGAAAGAAAAG